CCTATTATTTCATAATTGTTCAGTCTAATAAACGATTTTGTCCCAAAAAGCGTGTCATGTAGCAGCATTAAAATCAAGAAAAACTATTAACCAGTATAAATCCAGTGTAAATTACTCTGAGCGAACGTCCGTCTCTAAACAATGCATTAGATAAGAGATGACTCAAAAGGTACACGAGCCTTCATGCTCCCAAACACATGGTCATATTCAATGTCCCTTTTGGTGTATGAATTGTACAATTTACACATTCACAACATGGCCATGGTCTTTAGATCGTACCATATAAATACTTTGCTTGGGGATGGTCAGAAGTAACAATGTCGTCTCGAAGAGCAAAAAAAGGACCAAAAAAAACCCCACGTCAATTTGCAATGTTAAAGAAGCCAGACATACACTGTTACATAAATAAAACTAATCATTGTTGTTTTATCGTTGAAGTTAACCTATTTACTCAGTGTACAAATATTGCACTCCTTCTCTGAAGAAAAAAAAGAGATCTTGGATCTAATGTTCAATTCATCATTCTGATTTATTACTATAGGACGACCTTACATATTGAAATATCATATTCTAATTAGCTCATCACCTGACACTGTTTCTCCAGAATGTAGGGAAGTGGTTGCATTTGATTTTATTTGTTCTCAAAAGCAATTTGAAGAAGGATGCTCTATAAAAGCATTTTGAATCCGCCAAGAAACACGTCATTACTTCCGTGGGTGTCTTAAATCCCGCCTTTTCAAAAACTTCTAATTCCTCACATTTTAGTAAACATACTCATAAAAATTCATTTCTTGATGTCTTAGAAGCGAGCAATTGCATAATTTATGCCGCAAGAACTATAATTATTCTTCAGTTCTCCCGTAGTGATGATAAAATACAATCTCACACGTAATTACTTGCAGGAGAAATCCAGAGGAAGCTCCACTGTTTGTGACATTTGCGTTCCGGACTTATGAATCAGATTTTCTTGTTTGTCGTCAAGTATTTATTACTCAGGACACCAGGAAGGTTTTGAAATTATTCTCTTGTAGGGTCTCTGATAAATGATGACAAATCAATACCATAAGATAGCACAAGCTAATTTATCAATACATTCCATTCCTGGAATTGTGTGCCAACACGGCACTTATCTTGTGGTGTTCACTACATAGAGCAAACACGAAATGGGTTTTTAATTCTGCATCGTTTGCAGCTTAACATATCACAAAAGCCTTCTCTTTTTATTGTTGAAAGTACACATACACTTGAAGATTTGATGTGTTTTAAACTTGATCAATCACTTCAATCAAAAATTCATCGGATTCCTAGAAATGTAATTAGGTCCTTTCAGCATTGAACAACTAACAATGTGTAACATTTGATTATAACAATTGTTCAAATAAAACTGTAGCATTTTTTATAACTTTTGGATTCCCTTATGGACAGGAGGAAAGTTTTAGATTCTTCAGGAATTTCAAAATGGAGAATCTTACCTAGCACAATCACACTTTAGGAGTTATTGTCATTATTCCCTTATAGTGTTCTTCATTTTGCTCTTTATGTATATCTGCTTTGGTTCCTGGAAATAAATGAATAAAATTTATTAAATATCTTGTATAACTCATTTTTATTGGATTTTTAAAAATTTATTTTGCATAGATATTAGGCAACAAAGGCATGCCTGGTTTGATGTTTGCATTCGTCTGTGTCCGTTTGCAAGTTTCAATGCCAATAATTCTGCTACACAATATCATGACCTTAAAGAAAAATTATAATATCATAAATAACAGGATAGCCATAACTATTTAAAATATTCTGAATGTTATGTCAAGACACGTGATCTTCTGTTTTCCTTCTTAACATACACAATTTTATTTAATATACTTAGAACATATCTATCTATCTATCTATATATATATATATATATATATAGATATATATATATATATATATATATATATATATATATATATATACATATATATATATGAATATATATATATATATATATATATATATATATATATATATATATATATATATATATTGTAGTATAATTGCATCATACAACTGATATGGGTATGGTCAATGGAATTATTACAAATGTTAAGTTGAAATTAGTGTTGCATGAGTTTTTTGTGAGACCGTATTGCACTATCTTTTGCTGGTATCACGCCCTCTATCTTTTGCCGATATCACGCTCTCTATCTTTTGCTGATGTCACGCACTAGCAAGCATAACGCAATCTGTTACTAGCCAAATTATTTAAAAATTCAAAATAGATAAATCTGTTTTTGAAGTTTACTTTGAGACTAAGAGCTTTAACAAAAACAAACAATGACGAAATAGTCAGATTGCATTGAATTATTTCTGACATTCCATCATTGGTTTAAGATATAACTGACAATATTTTAAAGTCTGAATGGTATAATTTGACATGAACTAACAAACAATAATGTATGTGTGCCTTGTACTTACAAATTTGGTTTCCGTTTGATGTTGGTATAAACATAAGAAAGTTGAGGCCTTTTTCGGTGTACCATTGAGCACAGATCGATGAGAATTATAGGAAGACTTAGAAACTTTGATAACACTAATTTTACAAATAATTATGCACATTTGTAAACACATAGCATCAATATTGATGACAGACTGCCCAAAACTCCTGTATATTTGTCCTTAATTGTATATATTACTTTGTATCTAAAGGAATCAATTTATCCTGCAAATCTTTGTAATTATTGAACACTTGCGTTCTCCCAATGAACCATTCAATATTATGTCAGTTAATTAAAACCCTGATGATGATCGAAACTGGAATATTTGTTTGTGGCATAATTCATCAACTTGGAAAGACTTAAAGGATTTCAGACAGACAGGATGAGCTATTACGTTTTGTATTAACTGAGACACTAATAAGAAAGATGTAATTAAGCGGAACTTCATGGATGGATTCGCTATTTCGACCACTCGGCAATTTCCGCAGTGCTTACGTGATTGCATGGAAAGAGTACGATCTTGTCAATCTCATGGACTGTCTGCCTAAAAAAAATAATCGTAACTAAAATCATCTTGAAAAATTCGATCGCGATTAATATATATATATATATATATATATATATATATATATATATATATATATATATATATATATATATATATATATATATATATATATATATATATATACCATAAAGTGTAATACAGGATGTTTTCCGTTATAATGGTATAATGGTGTGTAATTAGTGTAAGTACCGAAAAAAGGAAGTTAGCCACTAGAGAAAAAGGAATACGTTTAAATTAAAATAATATATGTAATTTCCACGAGAAAGTACACTCAGTTATCATCTAGGAAATTTTTAATGCTGGTTATAATGTAACTTCTGTTTGTTTTCTTTATCCCAGGTCAAATAGTTGGGTCTGAGACAAAAGTAAGAAAACTGTTCTCATATGAATGACTTATGTCTCGAACGAGACTGCATGATATCTTTCTTATATTCTCCGTCATAAAAAAATGCCATCCTTCAACCACAAAGCTGTTTCGTTACTACAAATAAACCATATGCGCTCTCCTGCATGGTTACGATTTTCCTCCCGCTTGCAGCTGCATTTTCAACAGTTATAAGCAAGCTATGTGCTGTATGGTTAGGACTATAACGTACATGCTGTTATATTTGGAACTACAACGTACATAACCATATATGCTGTAATATATGTACTGTTTGGGACTATACCACTGATAATCATACATATTTTAAGACACATTACATATGTGGCATATATAGAGCCTATTTGTTTACCAATATGTACAAAAACGTAGCCAGTAGCTTCTTGTGGGTCGGTGGTTCTTTCCGGTGATTTCCCGGTTTCTTCCTCCACCTTTAATACTGGCCGCCATGAATAGCCTATCGTGTGCTGAAAATGGCGTTAAGCCCAACAACAACAACAACAACTGCAACAACAACAACAACAAAAACGTATTTGCTAAAGAGTTTGCTTCTTGATTCAATTGTTATTACCAAATGAAAGTTTCGTCTTTAGAGATATAAAATATACAAAACGTTATATATCGATCTTTCAATAATTCATATCTAATGAATAAAGATAGAGCATTTTCCAAAGAAATTCTATCTGCTTCGGTTAAAAACAAGGGTCTCCATTAACGTGCAATGAAATGGTTGAACAGAAAGTAGAAAATGTCAAATATCCGCAACACCGACTCTTCTCGTGCATATGAGTTTGTTTCATTTTTTAGCTACTATAATAATTTTCATGGGCAGTTTTTCCTCCATTTTCCTCTTGATTTTCCACCGCATGACATGAATGTCTTATTCCAAAATGAACGCCCACAGACAAACACAGCTCATAGACAAGCACATTTACGTGCTTTTACTGGCGGACATATTGCTAACCCGCTGATAGATTTTACTAAAAGTTAAAACATCTCGTTTTACCAACTAAGAAAACTGCAAGTACATTATACATCAATAAAAAGAGCAGAAAACAAACTTTCCTTCAATGTTTGCATCAGGAAAATCTTTATTGATTTAGTCTCAATAGTCTTTATTGAAAATATAGCCTATCTTAGTCGCTTTAAACAGGAACAGCTACCGGCGTTTCCATTATAGAAATGTCCTCTATAGAAGTGCATACCACATTGATCATAACTTGTCTTCTAGTGGTCGTGATTACAAAGGTATTGTGTTCTACTTGTCTTCTAGTGGTCGTGATTACAAAGGTATTGTGTTCTACTTGTCTTCTAGTGGTCGTTATTACAAAGGTATTGTGTTCTACTTGTCTTCTAGTGGTCGTGATTACAAAGGTTTTGTGTTCTACTAAATCTACATCAAATTGTTGTCGTTGTTGAAACTTAGGATTGGATGATATTTAAATAGGTGTGATTACTCTAGTTGATAGGCATGGCGGTCTGAAGATGGCTGAAATTAAATATCTTTAAATTAAAAAAAATACTGGAGTCTCTTAAATTTATGAAATAATATCAGGGTAAAATCAACCACTCCGGTGACTTAGTGGTTATAGCGTCCGCCTCGGATGCGGGAGGTTGTGGGTTCGATCACCGGTCCAGTCATACCAAAGACTTACAAAAATGTTACTACCAACTGCCTCGCTTGGAGCTCAGCATTAAGAGGTTAGTGTTAGGACTGGTTGGCGTGGTGTCAGAATAATGTGACTGGGTGGGATATCATGTTACATGTCTGTAGCATGAAGTCACAGTGCAAGACATCACTATAAACTGTCACACTGCAGTTATCGTAGTGATATGGCCGAAAAATTGTGAAAGCTACGTTAAAAATCATAATCACATCACATCACCAGGGTAAAATCACTTTTAAAAAATAAACCAATCCTTGCTCTTAGAAGACCCAAGAATTTGCATAATTTTCTAATTAGAATTAAACAGACTTAAAACGAAAAGACAATTTGAATGTAACAGACACTTGTGTTCTCAATGTGCTAACATAAGAGAAAGTACTTCTTTCAAAAGCGCTAATACAAAAGAGGTATTCTCTCTACATAATATCACTAACTGCGTATCAACGGATATGATTTATTTGATAATCTGTAAGAAAAGTAACATGCAATATGTTAGACAAGTTTCTAAGAGAATGAGTAAGTATCGCTTTCATGTAGAAAACAATTTAAAGAAATTCTCAGTTTTCCACTAATATTTCAACACATTTCAATACCGATAATCAATCTCTACTCGAGTTTTCTTTCATGCCAATATATTTTGTGCATGGAGACATGAATAGACTCATAAAAAATTATTGGATTTATAAGTTAGATGCTTTGTGTTCTAATGACATTAATACCAATGCACTATATAAAATTGTATAAAGTATATATGTTTTAATTGATAAATTGTATATCCTTTATTTATAAATATTTGTCTCTGTTTTGTTTCATTATTTTACTGATTCAGGTTTTATCAGAGATCCTGTCATTTACCCAACATGACAGCCAATTCTACGCGTCGGGTGATTCTGCGCAGAGATACGTCATTTCTGTATACATTGGATCACGTTTTCTTTTGGTCAAAAATCTATTTTGCTTCAAGAAAAACGATCTTACTTTAATTAACAAAAGTGATATTCATAAAGTACACAAAAGTACCCTACCTTTCGATTCAAAATGATGTGATTTCTAAATGTCAAAATTAAGAACAACTCTATGACTATCTTGAACCTGTATCCCAGCAGATCCTAATTACTATGTATCTTTTGGAATCATAAACTGGCTTCTTCAGCTGGTAGTAAGAATGGCAAAATATACTTATTGTTTTGCATCCTGGTTTTTTCTCAAAATGTACTTTCTGCAAGTCCGAAATACATGAGCCATGTCATGGGTTCTCAAGCTTGATTACAGATTTCGAAATTGTACTGTAATTTCGACTATATTCCAAGTGCAATTACATCCTCTTTAGTACACTCAAAATGAAATAAACATTAAATTCATAGCGTATTTTCGATAATTGCAATTGAAATGGTTCATTTTGCTCACATTATGATTTGAAACATTCAATGGCAGAACAGAAACACACACGCAGATGTCAATACGCTTCTCCCTCGCTACTTCAATCCGATGTGTATATTTCATGTATGATTGGCCCATTGTACTTCATCTAGATAAATCCAGTCCATAATCACGAAATTTCGTCGAATCGACAAAACTACCAAACTCTATTTATTACAGATCAAATGGAAAAGTTGTTGAAATGCGCGTTCATGCACAGTATGACTCCAAATTTTCATTTTAAGTAGATCAAAACGTTATTTTCTTTCGAAACTTATATCTAGCACGCGACCAAGTTCAAATTTAGCTGGGCGCAGTTACGTGAGCATTAATACTGTTGTTGTGTAATGATGATATATGCTTGTGTATTTATTTTGGAATGTGGCTTACATTTAGTTACTTTGTTTCTTGTAGTATATCTTTGTTTATATAATTAAGCGTTGGGTAGAATAAGAAACTGTGCATATAATAAAAAGGTCAATGCACTTGTATGGGGAAAAATTTAACTCGTTTTGTCGGATGGATATGTTGCTCTCCCAAGGTCATGCAATATATCCATCCGAAACACTCGTTCACATTTGCACTATAAATATTGTACAACAATCAAGCAAGACTGTAAGTTGGAAACTGGTATTGAAAATATTTTATTTTTACCAAATGGTATAATTCATATATATAAATATATAACAAGCTCACAAAATTTTTCTAAAAAGGATTGTCAGGACAAGGACATCGTAATATTATCGTGATGGTTTCTTTAAATTTGATGATGAATTGATTCAGTATGAATGGTTTGAAAGCGTAGTTTGTGTGTCGATGATAAGGACAATTTCGTACGATTTGAAGGAGTTAATTGGCAGAGAAAATTTGACAATTCGAGAATATATGAAATACTATCTGGCTTATTATAATGCTCTTTTCGTAAATATGTTGACAATAAAAGGATGCAGCATTAACGGTATGAGTAAAAGACATGCATGCGAAATGAATTATCTATTACATATTCATATCTAAGTATCCTTTATTTATCTCTACCTGCTTGCATTAATGACAAGAAACAAAATAATTTTCAACTTACAGTATTGCGTAATATTTTACGTAAAAGTTTATTTTTACACAGAACAAGATAACGTGTTAATGATAAATGTAGTTTTTGTCAATTGCAGAAGAGGTCATGTATACGTTAATATTTGAAGATAGAAAAAAAAGTTTTTGGATTACGTTAGAACAGTGGCTGACTAACTGTATGATATGTATATGTAGATAATTGACTGCCACAAGGGATTTAAGTTTCTGTACAGGTTGTGTCAGTCTCATAAAAAAAAATTTTGTTAAATGTAGTAGTTGTAGTAATAGTAGTGTTGGTGATGGTGGTGACAGTAGTAGTAATAGCAGCAGCAGTAGTAGTAGTACTAGCAGTAGTAGTAGTAAGAAACGACCAAACTATAATATTTAAAACTGGTATTTCAAACGTTACTAACTTTCTTATTATTACAAATCATTTTACTTATAGATGAAACATTTCTAAGTCGTCCTTAAATTTTGTAAGATTTAATCAAGTACAGTAGACAGTTCTTGTACAATGATCAGACTCACACACAAGCACACACACACACAATTGTGTATGTATGTATGTATGTATGTATGTATGTATGTATGTATGTATGTATGTATGTATGTATGTATATATATATATATATATATATATATATATATATATATATATATATATATATATATATATATATATATATATATTTTCAATACAAAGTTGTGATAGGAATCTTATTGATCATAAATTTACGTATTGATATTTACGATTGTAGCTCTCTCTCTCTCTCTCTCTCTCTCTCTCTCTCTCTCTCTCTCTCTCTCTCTCTCTCTCTCTCTCTCTCTCTCTCTCTCTCTCCTTGTAATAAACAGTACAAAAAATTCCAATTACTTGAAGGTACTTCCTATGTCACAAGTACTGTTTGAATAGTAATTTAAGACAAATTGGCAGAGAGGAGTTTTTTGTTGGCAGCGACCCTAAATTTACCACCAACAGGACCTCTCTATCATCAGTCGTATATAAAAAAATAACTTCTGATGACCCTACGTGATATTACTGGGAGGAAACACATCTCAGGACTCTTATTTGGGTCGCAAGCTCAAATTATGTACCGCTGGTATAAAGAACTGTATTTAAAAAAATAATAATATATGATGTAAAGTACTGCTGATGTGTATTTGTATTTATTTTTTTTTGTTTGTTACTCGATAAGTAAAAGACTGTTAAATCTCCTTATTCTAAAATAAGTAAAAGTAAACATAGTTTAAAGTCATAACTCCTAATTATTTAATTATATGATTTTATTGGGTTTTGTCGTTCTTGGTCTCCAATATATAATGCTCGGACGACACTAACTATTCTAGCTTCTTGATATAGTGCTACATCCTTGTTGATCAGGCGAAAAAATATTCAAGGCTAAATATAACGTACAGGAAACACAACAAAACGTTTCAATCTTTCCAACGAATGTATTGAATCACATGCAATTATTTATCACGGAAGAAAGAAGCATGTTACATTTAATTCAGCTGTTTTCCAAAGGAAATTGTGATCCATAGTTTAGGTGAGAGGTAAAAGTGTTGTAGAAGTCATGATCATTCATGTTTGGTACATCTGTCCTGCTGATTGCGTCATAAACAAAAATAGTTGTCTTTGGTCACTTGTTAAACAGTATCTTAAACGCAGTAAATAAAACAGATTTACGCAATGTTGTTTGAAATATAAACTACATTTAACGCTCACACACACACACACATACTTTATAGCACTATTGCACAAGAGCACACACACATACTTTATAACACTATTGCACAAGAGCAAGCAATACGGCTGTGAATATTCCATAATTGCTAAGTAACGAACTCTAAGAAAAGCATCGGATCGGATGGGAAATTATAGTCGTATATTCAACTCCTGGCCTGACGACTCTTTACGCCTCTCACGAGGACAGAGATTCCCTGCCCGAAGGTAGAGAACTCCTATAGCCCCTATGTGGTTAGCCCTCGGCCCGGACGCACACGGAATCGCTTGGTCCTAGGCTGAACCTTTTCGCTACTGACATGACCTAAAGACCCTGACGATCACATTACATTCACACAATCCATTGAGGAAGAACGCCACGCAAGCCAGCAGCAGGAAGAAGAGCACCAGAAGAACCCCCACCACAGCAATGCTTGCAGAGCCACATTGGACAATGAAAGCTTTGAGACGGGACAAGACAGACAAACAAGGACAATGGGTGCCACGGCAGGAAGTCTGTACCTGACAAGGGCTTGTAGGTTTCAGGAGCCCATCCAGGACTATGCTAGTATGTTTTCCCTAGAGCCAGTTTGTAACATCCATCGTCATACAATACAAGACGAACGAACAAAAGGACAGGACAGGACAAGACATGGTGGAGAAATCGTCACTCTGACAGGGCTGTCAAAGTTCCAGATCCCAAACAAGGTTTTTGCTAGTATGTTTTCCCTAGCACCTGTTGGAATGGCCACATGTAAACATAG